AAGTGAATGGATAATTTTCTGATCAAGAACTTCATGAAGGAAGATTAAAGGTAAAGAAGTTTTTAGAAAAGTAAATTTTAAACCAAGTTCCAGAAGATGTAAGTCCTGAGACTTAGCCCCAGCGGCAGTCGTTTGTCTAAATGAACTCCAGGAAAGCCCTGTTCTCTTTACCTACAGGTTCTTCATCGATAATTGAGGTTATCCCTGCTCTGATGTTTTTTAAAAAACTCGTGATACTTCTGAGATTGATAGGGTCAAAAAATGTTAGCTGATGCAGAGGTTGGCATCTGCCGGCCAGCGAAGGCAGATGCTGACTTGCAGCGCTGCCTGCGCAGCACAATGTTCTGTAAACGTTAAACGGGCAGATCGTTTCCTTCCTTATTTTCTCAGCCCAGCTGGGAGATGAGGAGGAGGAGAAGCAATGTTTCTCAGCCAACTGAAGTCAACTTTGGAACCCCTGCAAAACATAAATTATCAACAGAACATTACTGGTAGCAAATATTAAATGGCTGTGATAGCAATGAGGTGTAACAGCATATCTATTTGAAAACTGATGGTACATAAGCCAACGAATGCTTTCTAGCAGACAAAAAGTGTGTTGCAGCCTGCTCGTAGACATCCTGATAGGGATCGTTGCATTGCAGTACCAGTCACTAGTGCTGGTATTTATTTTAAGATAAAAACCGTATCCAGAAATGTAGTCAATGTAACCTTCCCGTTTGAAAAATGGTCCCTTAGAAAGGCTGCAGAAAGCAATTAGGAAAAAAGAATTCCTGTTACTTTGAATCAGTGTGTTTGTTCTCATCTAAACCCCCTTAGCTTTTTTATGATGATGATTTGCTAATGTTCCCAAAGAACAGAGTTTCTTCTTGTCCCTGTAGATCTCGGTTGTTTTCTGCAACGGCTTGTGACGTACTTTCTTATGTGAATGTCGCACTGGAAGAGTGTGCTTTTGGATTTATGAAAGAAACCAGGAGAGCGGTAACGAACCATAGAGCTCTACAGCTGGGGAAGTGGTAGCGATCTAGGATCTGCACTTACAAAACGAAAGGACAAACTTTCCTTCCCCAAGGGCTACTTCAAAAAAAAAAGCAAACTTTCTTCTCCCGTCAACATAATGAGTAGTACAATAATATTTTTACTTTTCACTGGAAGTTAGGTTCTTACTTTGGCCTCTCGGGAGTCTGTGCAGGAGTCTGGTACTCATGGAGAGCTGTCGTCATCTAGCGACCCGTGATTATGAACAGTTTGTGTCCACAAAAAGGCTAGTACAATATTTTTTAACCTCTCAGTTTTGCAAAGTTTATAACTTCAACAAAGCATAGATGACATCATTTAGAAAAAAAAAGTCCAAACAATGGGTATGACCCGATTCTAGTTCAGAGTACGCATGTTCTTGGACCTGTTCCGTGCTTACCCTGCTGCTGTGCATCACTTGGGGTACATACGTAGAGCGATTAGACCAACCTGAGGGCTAGCTGAGAACAGAGCAAGGCCTCTGACGGGCAGATGAGCAATCTCAGCTGCGTTCGCCAAACTAGGTTCACCTCCTACCCTGCCCAAGCCCATTAAACTTGTCATCTGAAGGCTTCAAATACTGGTTCCATTGCTGGTCCGTCAAATGAACATCGTCCCCTTCAGAACTAGAGAGTAAAAACACAGCCAGCCGGATGAATCACCCTGCATTTCCAAAAGGCTGTTACGTACACTAAATAAAATCAAACCGAGTGACGTGAGCGTCAGCCTGCACCACAGATCAGTCCTTATTTTGAAGGGAGCACTTGGGGCACATTAGCACTGGACATCCGCTGCTAGCGTGTTTAGTACATACTTCGTAAAGCATATCCTGTCAGTGCTTTCCTTTTTCCCGGCGACAAAGGTATTTTCAACACCTCCGCATCTCTGCTTCTAAACTGACAAAAATCGGTTTCTATGTTGTTTGTATCTATCTCTGCTGGACCCTTCGGAAACCCTTCACTCCCTAAATGACCCCTGAAAATGTAACAAGTACAATCGATACGGTATTCACCTTTTCAGCTTTTCTATTAGGCTCTTGTTTCTGATACTGTACTTTATTAAACACTTTACTACAAGCTACAGTAGTACCAGGCTGCTTTTGTGTGTTAAAGGCAACGCCTCTTTTCTATCCACTGCCCAGCTTTTTGAGGACGTCCTGCACCGCGGAGCAACAGGAGTTCACCGCGATGGCTGCAGGAAGGGGGATGCCCCTCTGAGAACGTCGGACGCAACTACAGCACCTGCTGGCTGCGTGAGCTGGATTCACAGGGGTTTAGCAGCCTCCAGGCGCGTTGGAATGAGTCCCAAATGAAAACTTCCTATCGGCTGCGTCCTGCATTTCATATAGCAAGATCCTAGCCCAAGTCCTGCCCCGGTTTTGACTTTTCAAGCTTTGACTGAATTAGTATGTAAAAACAAAACTACAGACGTGCAGGTTTCCCACCACAGAATAGCTGCAAAACATGGAATTTTACCTGCACTGTTTCACTTCTGCCTGAAATTGCCCCACTCCAACCCTAAACCACACCTTGTAGGACCAGTATAAATATATAAACAAAGAGTGAAGTTACAAGTGTAGGAAGGCTAAAGGCGGAGCGAGAAGCAAAATATACAGGATAATGTATAAACAATATATAAAATACACAGGAAAAACTGTCATTTTACTGAGTAATAATACGACAATGTGGATGAAGATATGAAAACATTAGTTATTTCAGAGTCCCAAAAACCCCTTTTTTACAGAGTAGGAAAACTCCCATCTTTAATTACTCCGTGTATGTTACAGATAGACTATTTCCAGGCACCATTTTCTCTCATCTGCGCGGTTTTCCTCGGGGTTGAGCAGACCCAGGGTACATCGGGCGGCTGCTGGGAGGCGGGGGCGGCCAGCCGCCCCGCTCAGGGGTGCAGCCCAGCCGCGCAGCAGCGGCGCGGGGTCACAGGACCTCACACCAACGAAGGGGTGCGAGAAACTTGCAGAGGCACGCTAAAGCGGTTTCTAAAAATATTTCACCTGTACCTAAAAAAATGGGTGTTCGGTCCCTGTATTTGCCCCAGGGATTACGAAACACCGCATCTGTCTACCCGAAAACCAGGAACAGGCATGAATTAAACAGAACGAAACGTAACTGTTCGCCCACGTTGCAATAGGCTGCCGGGACAGAGAACCCCCTTTAATCGGAGCTCAGGCAAAAGCCAGGTTGCCCGCAGCTGCTGCCCCGCTGAGGAGACCCAGCCGCCCCCGGGGGCTCTGCCAGGGCCCAGCTGTGCCCGGGGGCTCGCCAGCCCCCAGGGCCGCCTGGGAGGCCCTGCGGCCGTAAAGAGCAGCCTCCCCCCAGGGCCGGGGGAGAGTGGTTGCTGCAGGTTTTGGTGAATAGGGCTGGGAGAGCCAGGGAAGATGGAGTGGAAGCAAAAGCGAAGGCCCCCTCTGCCCTGGTGCTGCGGAGTGTGCCCTTGGGGCGCTGTGACGAGTGTCTGCGTAGCAGGCAAGGAGTGGAGACCTGCTCTGGGGCCGCGGCCAGCAAGGCAGGGCCTCTTGCAGGCAGCCTGCGTTGCGGTTAACGGCCACGTTGGAACCCTCCCCGTGGGAAGACGCTTGTGTGGAACAGATGGGTTAGGTGTCTCTGCAGGGTTACACTCACGGTTTTGCAACGGATGCCACGTTGAGCGCTGGTGCGGTGGGGTTTCCAGAGATGCTGTGGGTCGATCGGGGTGCTGCTGGCCCGAGCTGTGGGGCTGGGCTGAAATCTGCCCGCGTCTGAGGGGAAGGGCGTGCGGCGGTGGGTCTCTGCCCAACCACATCTCCAGGCTGGCACAGCTGCTTCTTCCCTTGCACTTCTGTACGGCTTTCTCAGTCAGGAAAAGTAGATGTAAACGGTGTCACCCATCTTCCGTTGCTTGTCCTGAAGGTCCTCCAGCCCACAGGCACGGCAGCGCTCTTGGGAAGGATGGAGTGAAATGCGGCTCTGCCAGCAGCTTGGTCAGCGTCGTGCGGCTGCCAGGAGGTGTGCCCGCTGTGCAAGGAAAGCTGCGCTGCTCGCCTGCTCAGCAAAGCACCCTGGTCCTGCGTGTGCTGGATAGGTGAGGGTATTACAATAGCAGGTCTTCGGTAGAAAAGGATTAAATTTTTCTGTAGTATTGTAAAATATAACTGGGCTTGAAGCTAGGGTCACCTTTGGCAACGTAGTTTATTCTGGCTCTGGTAACATCCTACTGAAATTAACTATCCTGTAAGGAATAGATACAAATCCCAATTTAAGAAAGATGCAAGACCTAAAACCAATTCACCGGCCTCTTCAAGAAAAATCAATGCTTCCTTCTGTTCACTCTAAGCTTTCCCTGTTATTGTTAATTTGTGTGCCACCGCAGACCTCCTCTTTAGGACCAGAGCTAGAGATGATTTGAATGAGCCTGCCTGGTCTGAGTTCCTGCAAGCTCTAGGGGAATACCAATTCCTGTCTAGCTTTGAATTTTTATTTCTAGTTTTAGTAAATTAGTGTAACTTTCTATATTGCTTCCATCTTAACGAACTGCAGAAAGTTTTTGCTTTGCGGGAGCAATAAACTCTATAAATGAGCTGATACATAGGAAAAAGCATCTTATTGAACACTTGAGGAAAAATTGTAGGATGCTTAACAAGAATTTGCTAATACATGAACTTCAGGGCAAAGAGGGAATGCAGGCTGCACTCGGCCTTCCCGAGCTTCAGGTGGGCTCCACGTGCAGGCTTGAGTACTGGCATCTCTTCTCAGAACAGTGAAGGCTTACCAGCGTGGCTCTTATCAATCCTAATACTGTTTCCTTGACCGCACAACTAGATCAAATAGTTCTTACAGGTCTCATTGAGGAGAGTGAGCTAGATGGTAAAGGTAAAGGACATTATTTGCCCTGAAATTAGCATTTAATAGCTCATGTAACTAGACAAAGCATTCTTCGCAAAAACCAGACTAGAACCGAGCTGACTTCATTATGAACAGACACATCGGTATTTTTGTATTTATTAAATTAAAACCACACAAAATATAACTGCACACAAGAACACACATCTGATATTCCAACGTCGTATCTCACAAAGAAAAATCTCTTGCTGTAACTCTTCGCTTTTATTAGCAGAAATCCAGTTTGCAAACAGTTGTTTAACCATAAAGGCTTTAACTAACCAAAACAAGTCGAATTCCCCTTTCTAGGAATACATCATAACCACGCACAGACACGCACACAGAGCCCGGGGCTAGTTCCGCAGCCCTGAAGTAGACAAAACTTCCACAGCAAACTCGCCTGTGTTTGCAGAATAAGTAAATTTCTATTATTTTCACAGTTTGTCATTTACAAGCAAACTTATGTAATATTTTTAAATACTTAAAACAAATTTCACTTTAACAAGTATTTACAAAATCTTTACTAAAGATCAACATCCTGCATAAAGGTGACCTCAAGGATATATTGTTGCTACCATGCTACAGTTTGCACAGAAGGGGTATTAAAGGCCATTGCTAGTTTTGGAAGGCTTAAACCCTTTGTTGATATAGCATAAGGACATTAGCCTACGGAAGGCAGAAGAGGTCATAATTTCAGTGCAATTACCCATTCATGACTTGTTTTAAGTACATCGAGACGATGAGTCCAAAAGACTTGGTTTTTTGAATTATTGACCATTTAGTTCTTTAAGAACTGATTTCACGGAAAGTTTTCAGGCCATCACATCTGTCTTCTACTGGTGATACGAAGAAGCTGCATAGGGACCTTCCTCATTCTCCTCCTCTCTAAAAAGAAAATGATCATAATCATCAGATCAGGCACACGCCATGTCTCAACAGTAAAACTGCAATGCAAATGCTGATAAAGTTTTCCTAATGGATCAAAATAGCTAAGACTGGCATTGCCTAACAGGAATACTACCTGCAGTACGTTACTGTTCATTATACATCTCTGGAGTTCTCGTTATGTGGTTTCAAGAACAGAACGCTGTGTAAGTTCAACAACATCAGAACGTATTTCGAGTTTAATGAACTATTCCTGACACTACAGTGCCAAATCAATAAGAAATACTGCAAAGGACAAACAAGTGGAAGGCATGCTGGAGTTCCAGGACCGTTGCTTTCAACTCCTTCTTTTAAAAAAGCAAGCTTAGTCGTAGGTTTGTTTCAGCCTTTTGAAAAGGCAGGGGGTGCAGATGGACCAAATGAGGCGAGAACAGGAGCAGTCCATCATAGCTGTAGCTGGATCTGTGTCTTGACGCTGCAAGGATACTCGCTCCTTGAGGTGTACTTCGTGTACTTCAGGTGCATCAATCAGCATTGAGACTGATCACTTGGATTTTCTTAGGAGAAAATGGCTGCCCACAAGTGCTGTTGTTATTGCAATGACTGGATAAACTGAAGTAGTGTTGCTATTAAAAAATCCTCCGGAAAAATCAGTCTGCCTACTCTTTGCTTGACAATATTGCCTTTATAAAAAAAGGGGTTATGTAAACCTGTTGCAGTGCAGCATCCAGTACTAATTCAAGCATCCAGTACTAATTCAAGCATGCTAAGTTCTCTGAAGATCATTGTTTTCTACTACTGCAGCTTCAAAATTATGTTCCTGAGAGCTTATTCTTAAAGCTGCTTCCAATGTTAGTGTTTTGGTGAGAACAGAGACTTAACAGTTGCTACACTCTGAGCTTCAAAGGATTTCCAGTTATTTTTAATACTGTATGTGCCTCCATACAAAGGTACAGTTATTCCAATAGTCTAATAGTGGTATAAGGTAAAAACTATGTATTTCAATACTATTCCAAACCCCAATCATGCAGACTTTTCCCTGCTAACTTCTAAACATGATTATTTATCTATAATTTAAATTTCATGTAACCCCCCCAGAACAGAATCAGAGGAAAGAACCCTACAAACTAACCAAGCAGCTGAGTAACTTGCACTCATTTTCCCAGCCCTTCCCTGTTCTTGGGTAGTCCAGCAAAATTATCTCCTTAAGCCAAAGACGTGATATTGCTTTTGCCTTGAAACAATCTTGTCAAAAAAATGAAACCTCAAAAAAACAGGTTTTGGATGAAACTGGTAGTTATTGCAGGGACGTGTGGTTACAGTAGTACTGAAAACAGCTTTTAGCCTTTCTTACAAGTACTACATCTATCTACATTAGTGATGCTACAGACCCAGTGCCAAGCATGACTCTTAAGATACGGATGATCTGTGCATATTTAAGTAGTATCTTTCCTTAGATCATCAATCCTGCATTGCAAAACTGCCACAGAATACTATAATTTGCAGATGCTGTTCCTAATACCTGGCATGACAGTAAAGTAAGGGAGCAAACAATTCACGTTTAGTTGAATAAGCACTAGAGCACTTTTGATCTATAGTCTCAAGACAATACATTTTAAAACTTTTTTCAGAATTGAAACCTATCAACATACCAAGCTTGTAAGATTGGACTGCAGGACTGTAAAATTCAACCATAACTACTTGGCTGAAGCTAAGTATTTCAAAAAGTATATTCTGAAGCTCTGATATATGCCCTTCTGGGGCAATGGGTTTCTAGCCACATATGCCCAGAACACAGCTGCAAATAGCAATCTCCTGCTAGTTTGTGAGGATGGAGGAGAACTTCTGTTTTCAGAGCTTAGACTGTCCGGTAGGGGAGAAGCTTACTTTCTATGCTGTACTCTGAAAACTACTTTGTACTTCTTAGTTTTGTTATGTTTCCCCTTTTAGGAGAATAAAATGCGGCAGAGTTACAGCAAAAAGACCTTCCTTCTAATCAGAGGCTGTCAGAATTGGCCTTTCACTCTTTTTTCTTGAAAGCCTTAATATAGGAATGACATCCATCATGACATGGCAACAGCCAACCACCAGACTGAAATTAGCTGCGGTTGATTATGGTGGATAGTAGGGGTGAATATGGAGAATGGAAGAGTTGCAATAGTGATGTTGTATCAGCAGATCTTCGGACATCAAAGTAACAAAACAGCTAGTCTAAGCTGTTCGTCTCCAATTCCCTTGCGAAATACGCATTTGGGCTATGGGCTCTTACGTGGCAGTTGTCAGCAGAGGGCAGAAGACTGGCACTTGAGTCACAGCCAGCTTTGAGGGGTTTCTGTTCGTGGCAGGGACGTAAGAGCCACGTAGTAGGTCATTACGCTTGAACCTAAGCAAAGCAGTGACTGCCTGTAATGTGCAAAACAAATTTCTGACCACGGCTGAGGCATGCTGTAGCTGGCAGTAAGGGCTGGCAAGAACAGCTCCTAAACCTTCTGTCCCAGGCTGCGGTACTAGGCTATGTGATGAGGTCTACAACACATTACTCCAAACCAAGGTAACGGCCAGGAAATGTTACTAATGTAGATCTTCAGAAGTGTACGTAGCAAGTACAAGTCTGTTCTGATGGCTTAAAAACAAGCCAAGGTTTATACAAAACAAAATTACACAGTAGTAGCTCCAGCCCGTGGCCCACAAGCAACACGACAGTGCGTGTATGTTTAATGACCAAACAATTTTCTTCACTTTCAAGATGCTTAAGATAGCAAAGTGGTAAGTCAGTGCAACATTCTCCTTCCGGCAAAGGGAAAGGAACAGCACAGCATTACAATGCTTCGTAGTGCTGTCTCTTCCCGTTTGCTGTTGCCACTTTGCCCAGCAGGTTACAGGAGCTGAAAGACATCTACTGCAAGCTATCATATGCATCAGGCCTCAATAAAAAATGCTAATAACCACTTCTGTAAGACCAAGCACATCTGAGTGTGAACAAGTAAACGCGAATCTGATGCTTGGATGCTTCTAGAATCCACAATTAAACCAGGCAGCAGTCTGAGTTAATAGCTTTTGGAAGTCTGAAAACAGGATTCTCCACAGGCAGCCTCCTTTATTGAGGTATCTGTTTTCTTAGCTGACAGCCAATGATGGTGAGCAATTATTGGGCAAATTAACTCAATTAGTTATCAGTTTCAAATGCTTCAACACCCTACTCTGTCCTAGGTTCAGGTCGAGGCAACTGAGCAGATGACAATATATGGCTTAGTGGTGGACTTGGCAGTGTTAGGTTTACGGTTGGTAAACTGATGATCTTAAAGGCCTTTTCCAACCTAAATGATTCTATGGTTCTGTTCCAGTGCTGCACACCAGTTAATTATATTGGCTCGTATAAGCAACAGTGATTAGAGTGGCTCTATTCAATTACAAGGTTTTCAAAGTGAGTCACTAAAAGGCAAATGCAGAAAGATGTGACCTGTCCCAGAAGCACAGTGTATGGCCCTAGTGTTCTAGCCTACCTTCCCACAGTACCACCCTAAAATATTAAGGACTCTATAAAGACCTTGCATTAGACCTCTGGTGTTCAACTGTCTGATACAAAAAGCATCACTAAACTTAATTTCCATTTCGGCATACTGAAACGTGCATAACAGCATTTTGGGCAAGATGAAGCACTACTGTATTTTCTCAAACTATTACAAGTTGCTTTTCTTCCATGTGTGGATAAAACTAATACTGGGTATTCTTCCCTAACATGCAAAAATGTGAGTTAGCGACATATGCTGCAAACAACTATACTAATACTTTCGCGTTCCTTTTGGCCTATTATAAAAATATTGCTCAAAAAGAAAAACAGGTCTTATTGCCTTAAGCTGCTCACCTAGAGCTGCATCCTGGGTAAATATGCCTGACTGGGGGACTCATTAACCAGTGATGTCTTCCTCAGTGAAACTCTCTAGTAAAAGTAGTATTACATGCAGATCTAGCCATATGCTTACATAAACTCTAATAGTGAAAGGCAGCCGGCACAAACCGAGTGGATCACATTCTATAATCTTTAATGCTCATCTACTTGCATGGCTATTAAAGTTTAATAACTAGTCTAAATCTGCACCTATGTGCTCAATTTTTCTACCTAACAACAAGAGGCTTTAGCTGGGAAGAAGCTGGCTTTAGAGATTAATATACTTTATTCCTTTGAGAGCACTTAAAGGGGTGACTTCAAGAGTTACGATTAAACACTGTAATTCACCTTAAGCTGTCTTTGTAGCACAAGGCAGTTTCTGACTATGAAACTGCCTGTACAGTTTGATCAGAATCAGTGCATGTATATGCACGCATTCTTGGCAACTTTAAGGGAGACCAAAGTAAAGAGCAACTTAAGAGATGTCGTGATTCTCTCCATCTGTCAAATCAGGCTCACGGGTATGGTGAGAAGTTATGACTCTTCAAGTTCTGGAACTGATAGTCTGCTTCTGCTTGCAGTTTTCTTAGTTCCAATGTCCCTTTTGGTGGTAGTAGATGTAACTCTAGGCGCTCCTTTCTTACTCTCAAACAGGCACTTAAGTAAACTGCAGTGCTGGTGCATGTCACTCTAAACAGGCCTTGACAAGGCAATCTGAATACAGAAGGCCAGAGTAGCTGGAAACAGCGCTCTTAATCTCATAAATAGCTTTCACTCTAAAATTGAAAATTTGCATATTCATGAGGCTGGTTTACTATCATGATGGCTGTCCAATTTTCAGGGCCTCCTGCTCCAAGCAAGGGACAAGAAAGGTATAGGCAGGAGGGAGAACAGGTGCCTCCTGGGGAGCTGCTGGAGCTGAGTAAGGAATGTTGCCACCTTCCAGTGCGGGCCCAGAAATACCATTGATGGTACGTAGCTGAGAAGTATCTCCAGGGCTTTCGGCAACGGTCTCCCTCTACTCCTGCTCTCTGCAAGGAGTAAACATTCACTTTGGTCCTCTGGCACTTCCTCTCAGGCTGTAAAGGGGTGAACACAGTTGGAGAAGATAAGGCAAGGACGGCTTTCGTGAGCCATGGCTGAAAGCCAGAGGTGGTGGGGTGGAAGGTGACATTATGAAGACTTTATCAGACAGACAGGAAGCTTTTCTCTTCAGAAGCTTTAGATAACATCCTGCTCAGCAGATAGCCTGCAGCTCTGTACTTCATGCTTTCTGTAGCATCATGACCAATAAAAATCTGTGCTCCATGCATAATTAACAAAACTACCCTCTAAATCTGAACAGGAGGTGGGAAAGTTACTCATCCTCCTGTATCCATTATTCCTTGTGAGGAAATTTGGTACCAGGCCCTCATTTCCCAAGTTGTAACTTAAGCAATATAGGAAATGGATATTAGTAGTAGCAGTGTACTATTTGTGCAGTGTCACTCTCACTGTACTGGCTCTGCTCACAGTGCAGCAAGGTCTAAGTGAATTTCCTTCTGTAAATTAGCATGTTATTTTGTTGAAAGGATGTTAAAATAATTGTCTTCCTCTTGCAGGGACTGTGGTTTCCTGTCACCCAGCTTAACTGCTGGGTCAACACCTACTCTAATCTGTCTTAGATACATATGTCTAATGATCTGAGAGTCAGCAGCGGCACATTTTGATAGATGCTACGTGGTTTCAAATATAACAATGCAAGTGAATGAGTTTGAAGAGAGAAGGATCTGAGTTCCAACAACTGTTTTTTCTCTTTCATGTAATCAATTCAAAAGAAAATAATGGACAAGTGTGTTAACAAGATGTGAAAGCGTTCCGGCCTTCCCTGAGACTGTAACTCTGAACCAGTGTCCCTCTGGCAACGGAGAGTTGTATGTGGAGTGCAATAGGTAATGAATTACCTTAAGCTGTCTTATGGGCTATCTCTCCAAATGAGGCTTGTCCAATTGCTAAATGCAATATACTGCTCCCCCTCAAATTTTTGTCTATTGAACAAAGATTTTAAGTTGCTGAAACAATCCCTTAACTTATTGAAGAAATGATGGGACTCATGCTCAATAGATTTGGATTTCTTAACATGGAAAGTATATTGCTTGCACCCAAAATCAGAGTATGTGAAGTGAGCCAGGATGATGGAAGAAGTTTTGCATTAAACAAATTTGCCAAAGCAAAGTATGTATCTGCAGGCATAACCTCTCTCCAGCTCTCTGGTAAGAGAAGCGATACCAGTCCCCTGCAGCCATACCTTTTGTTGTCATGAGAAAGGCCACCTCGGCATCACCCACTGAGGCAATTTCTGCAGAGAATAAACAGGCCAGACAACCAGCCCAAGAGACTGCTTGTGAACAAGCTGAGGAAGCTTCGTCCCGAGGACATGGGAAAACAAACACTACTGAAGTCCATTCTTGCTCTAAGTCTTTCTGTACTCTCCATGGGATGCCTACATATGTGAGGGGATAATCACTGTGGCAGAGGTCAAAAGGTACTGCTTTTTCTAGGAGTAAAGTGTGTGGGAGCTCCTGGCTGCAGAAGAAATCTGAAGAAAAGACAGAAGTCTACGTAGGTGGATCCACAACGGGAGGGACTGCACAGGGAAAGGAGATTAGATAGCTTAACTGAAACTGCAACATGGAGAATATTTACACAATTATGAGGCAATTTGGGACAGAAGAAAAACACAATCATGCCTTGCTGTACACAGTCAGCTTCCTCATAGGCCTTGGCTTAGTACTCTACTGAAAACTATGGGTTTGCTTAAATAGTTGCCCACTTACATAGCAAGACATCTTGGAGAATACTGGCCTTCTAGCTTTCATGGAATATTACTGCTATTCTACAAACAACGTATTGTGAGGCACCCTTTATCACTGCCGTATCAAGGCATCTGCTAACGGTGTGCTCTGAATGTATCTGGTGCATGATAATAGCATAGACTTACTGTTGACAAATTAAAACTACAGCTGCTGTCTGAGATACCACACAAAGAGGGTTAGGCTTAGACTAAAAAGCCTTCAGGATGAGATTAAGACGCTTAATACTAAAAAAGGCATTTACCTGACATTGTCATCTTTTAGTTTTCTGGCTGCTTGTTTGGATAACTTAATCTGCAAGTCCAATCTCTGTAGGAAATCTCTGGCAGATAGTTCTTCTGGTGCAGTGGGCTGATTGTCAGGCTCTTGAGGACTGGGAGAAGAACTGCTTTCTTCCTGAACTGTCACTAGTCCTTCATCACAAGAAGGGGAGCTGTCAACAGTTTCATTCTCGGGAGACTCCAGTGAATTAAGTCCATTGAACAGTAATGGTTTCTCTGATATAACAGGAATATTCAGGGTTTTCCTCAGAAATATACAGTCATTAGTGAACAGTTTATTTGCCCTCTTTATTTGTTCCATCTGAAAAAGATAAGAAAAATGTAAGTTATTAGGTTTTGGCAAAGTATAAAGTACTAACTTTAAGTAGTACAGTAATCTTTAGTTACAATAAATCTATACCTCCTTTGCAGCTGCAATGACTTCAGGTAAGGATTTTTTTGCATTCAAACTGATTTCAGAGTGTATGTTCTGTCTTAGCCTTGTTAACTCAACACCCGAGCTTCTTCCTTTTATGCAGACTTGACTCCAAAATATTGGTCTTTCTAAAGTCTTGCACTACCTAAAGAGGCTTTTCTTGAACAGTCTTCCAATCTCTCTACAGGCTCACATGAACAACTTGCCAAAGAATAAATATCCTATCGCAAAAGTGCTGCTAATTTGGATTTATATTAGAGTAAGGCTCAGAACTGCTAGCAGCTGCTGTAGGTGAACTCTCTGGTAAAAAGCATGCGTAATACAAAGAGGGGCAATAAAGTTACCTTGAGCATTCCAGGACATGCTAGTTATGAACAGTGAGCACCAAAAGTCTTTGAAGAGCAGTATATGCCTCATACGTAGTATTTCCCCCCCTAGCTGATGTAAAATTCAGACTTCAGATGAAGTCCTGATTTTCAGTGAGAAGTCAGGCAGTGAAAAGAATGGGGGACTCTTAAACACTCTGTAATGCAGCTGCATAGACTAGTGGCTGCATTTGTCCAGTAAACTGAACTTACAGCTTGATCAACAGTAACCTCATGTATGTAATAATGCAGGGTAACAGCTACCACATAACTGTTAAATACTTTTTATGCAACTTTTACCCAAAGTACTTCTTACAACCTACTCATCAGTACAGATGATCTCATGACAGAAGCAAGAAGACTACTCCATCTTTCTCAGCATACTAATGCATAAAGCCCCACTTGTTCTATACTTAACCTGAGAAGCTATCATAAATTCCATTGCTTTACAGGTGAAGAAAAGCTCCCAGTAAATGTTTATACTATCTCCCTACTACGAATGTTGTTTAAGTTCTTATTCATCAAAATTTCCCTTCCAAGTCAGTAACAGTTAAACTATCTTCCTATCTCTCAATTGCAAGCTTTAAAAAGGCACAGAAATCAGTATTCATGATTATGTGACTGTAAGCTTTAGTTATAACTTGAACTCATTATTTCATTAGGAAAAGTCCTAAGTGAAAGAAAGAAAAATGACCATTCTGGTCCCCTGGTGACTGCAATAAGCAGAAATTCCTAATCACTACAGTACTGCAATGATAAATGCACTCTAAATAAAACCTGCTTGAAAACAAGTATGAAGAGAACTGAAAACACCTCTTGCCTGCATTAAAAGTGTTACTGATTTCTATTAAACTAAATAGAGCTAAACTGAGTAAGAATAAAAACTTTAAGTCTTGTAATAATAGGAGTCTTACTGCTAGTATAATCACCCAGAAAAAGCTAGACACTCTAAGCACTAGCCACTCACTACCTCAAAGTCTGAAGTATCTTCAGTTCAGCACTCAGGTGATGAAAAAATTGCTCTACCATCTTATGCTTGCCAGTCTTAAACTCTTTAAACTTTGCTCTGACGCTATTTGGAGTCCTTCCCAATTGCAAAAGAAAAGACCATTGTTAACAGATAATAACTGGGTTAACATGCCTGTGCATTTCTCACACTGAACATACTAGCAGGGGAAGCTGTCTAAAACCAAGGGAAAACCACAGAGATGTTAGTCTGTCTTCTCTGTGCAGATGTGAGACTGTGGCCACTTGCAGAAGTGGAACAAACTCCTGCACGCAATGTAGACCTGTACTGTGTGGTAAGAGTATCTGCTGCAATGCCATTATAGATCTGGTGTCATGTATGGATGCATTTGCTTGGGTCCTGGAAGCCTGATGAAATCTTTCTCCGTAAAAATAAATAGGAGATTCTCTCTAGAAAGGCTAGGTGTCTGGGAGAGTGAGAGTAGTGAAAACGGTACAGTAAAGTCGGCAGTAAGTTATTTCTATCCATTAAATATACAAAAATGGTATTCTCTACTTAAAGACAACCCCAACCTGTTGCTGCAGATGGCTAAGTGATGGAATGATTAGATTTAATAATCACTTTCAAAAGCTGAATAACTAATATCCAGTGTCAGATAGTAAGCCACTACTTCAAGCAAGAGAAGCTCATTACTCTTCCAGTTCCTGAAGCCTGGAAACTATTTTTAGTTAGCTTTACACAGTATGCGGTGTATCTCTAAGTTCTCTCCCAAGCTGAGTACCATCTGAAGGGCATAAAGGAAGCTTCACTTGACGTACTAATGAGACCTATAACGGCCATCAGATGCTAGTTTAAATGTCAATTGTAAAAATATCTAAAAGTTGTCTTGTGTTGATGGGTATCAAAAAAATGTTTAAAATGCTAGCTGGAGCTTTTCTCTAAAAATACAACACACAAGCTGAAAACTGAGATCTCTACTACAGGGGAGTTGGAAGGTGATGCTTCAATAGCTGATAAATAATGCACCGTACTGCTGTTCTCTCTCCTACTTCACTGTAACTCTACCTCTGGTTATTTCTTCCTAAAATACCATTTAAATAACATCTTGTGGCATTTGGAAGACTGTGCACCTCTGCACTGAGTAACAACGATATGGGAAATACTTGGTTCTAAAAAGAACATCCCTCAGCCTTGAGCAGGTTACTTGATATGTGTAATATATACTGCTCCTACAACTCAGTATGACTCCATACGTTCATAGGTGTACGGAGAACAGGATTTAACACTAGTTTTCTTAGTGCTACGAAAAATGAACTAATTTCTGTTAGCTACGGACCTATAATAGTGAAAGCACGTGCTAAAGCCTTTGCTCTTAATACTTTAACTGAAGCTGCACTAATGCATAAACCGGTGCTGAACTAACCCATCACAACTGCTTCTACTGACAATGAAACAAACAGTCCTCTTCCTTCTCCCCTCAAAAGGGATACCTTTGTATGATGGAAAACAGCGCTCCAACTGAACCATAAATATGATACTGAAGATTAATTGCCGGTGTTAATTTACCCAATGGTGTTCAAAGGAAGATCTAATGAACACAAGCCATACAAGATTAATAGACGGTATCTGGGGGAGAGGGGCGAAGGGCAGAGGATGAGGCCAAACAAAGCACATTGATATCTCTCTCTCTCCCCTCCCCCCAACATTTTCATCCATCTTAAACTGCCTATGCTATGTCATGCCAAGGCAGGCACTGGACAGGATGCCTCTTGCTGCAAAGTAACTCCCAGTGAGGAAAACCACAAGGGGAAACTTCTAAAAAACAGTAATACTGGAGGCAATGGCCACCATAGATAATTCTGATGTTCCCACTACAGCAGCTCTCACTGCCAGCCAAGTATACAGGATGCAGGAAGCAAACGTAATGACTCTTCAGAGGAAGTCAGTCCTTGTCATTGCGTGAACACGTAAGATTCTTCATTTTGCTAAAAGCAAACATGTTTGCATACATTCCTATCCTGGGCTGAAACCCATTAAAGCAGAAACACAATGGCTGATTTCAGCTAACTTGTCGTTGCTCTCAGGGACATTTCATGTCAGTTTAACCTTTCTCAATCGAAGTCTATAATGATGCAGCTCTGGTTTCTTAAGCAGAATACTAGCAACATTAAATCAAATAACAGATGAGATGTTTAAAAAAAACCAGCATTTATATTTTAAATGCATCATTAGCACAGCAAAAGCTTATTAAACTCATGCTATGAACAAAGTTTATGGTTCATAAGTTAAACCTATTTTTTCCAGACTGTACAGGTCTGATCCACAACTTCACTTTAGCTGAAAGGAAGTTGTAAAGTGCATAGAAATGCCTTTTCTCTAGAAAACTACTATTTTAGTAATCTGTTTATATTTTTTCACTTATTGCAGTGAGCAAATACACTTCTGAATGAAGAACATAGCTAAATCATTTTGGCCAGAGACTTTATCCATTATGGAAAGCGCTGTCAAAAATAAATTAAAAAAAAAATCAACCCAACCCAGTGAGCAGCTAGGTCACTTTGCTTTGCACCCACAGTGAGCAAAACTTTGTTTTAATGTGGACCAATGTAAATCCAAAATGCCATTAGTCCTGTTGTCAACAAGATTTGGTAAAAAGTGGCTTAATCTTTCTTAAGGGAAGAGAAACAGACTTTTAACCCTTTTCATAACAAAGGCTGAATGCTGTTGAAGTTGCTGGAAGGCTTTAGCAGATCTTTCAGAACCAGAGGAGGAAAGGAAACCCATTCCAGTCAGAACCTATCAATTTGGGACTGCATTGTACCTCTTCCAGAAAGAGCCCAACTGGAAGGTGCTCTTTGCAGCTGGTGTGAAAGCGACATTGACTGTGTGCTAATACCACGCTGTTAGCTATGCTCATCAGCTGCTTGGCCCCAAGCAATGTCGCATGTTGGGACTACCGAAGCTGCACATAGATACGTCAGTTGGTAGCTCAGGGGGCCCCAAATAACCTGGAACGAAGGCAGGGTAGGTGAGCTCTGCCCTCTGGGGAATGGCAGTGTGTTAGGGCCTGCTGGTAGACCCTGTTGGACTCTGCATATCTTGGGCTGGCACAACCCTTTCAACGTCTTCCACAGAAGTAAGCTTTCTTCTCTATAGGAAGAGAGCAGAAAAGCAGCAACACTTTCAAATCAGCTGTAAATCACCTCTAGGTGACAACGGAAGAATTTTTAGCCCTGAAACTACTGGAAGAAATTCTTTCTTCTTGTCAGAGCCTATGTGTCAACCTCAAAATAATTATTCTTTTCACGGTAAGTTTAATTACACGGGTTTTTTTTTTAAATCTGAAGCGAGCGTAGTGGTGAACTGTCACGTGAGCACAGGTTTACTCTGCGGGAGGAAGCGCATCTCCCTTCGAAGAGGCCACCGGCCGGTCCCGCAGCCCCAGCGCTTGTCAGCCCGTGCTGGAGAAGGGCCTGTGCCCTGTCCCGGGCAGCGCGAGCTTCAGCCACTTACCACCAGAACGGGCCGCCGACCCTTTGCATCTTAGCAGGTCC